GAACCATTSGAAGTAATGAAAATATTACTGCCGTTTTGGCAAGTGTCGTTGAAGACCGCGATTTGCCAATTCCAAAACGTTGTCAAGAATTCGGACAGWTTTAAACCACAACCTGGCGGATTTTGAGCAAAAATTTGGACTTGCATCCATATGAAACAGTTCTCACTCAAGAACTGAAGAAAGAAAATCATCTTATTCGAGGAGGCTCAATTTCATCTGAGCTGTGCGGTCAATAAACCAAACTGTGGATTCTGGTGCGAAGAAAATCTACAAATTAACTATGAACAACCATTAAATTCCCAAATTAACAGTTTGCTRTATCTGGTGGATTCATAAGTATGTACTACTTTCGAAATGAATCTTGTAATCTGGTAAGGGACGGCGGTATAGAGCGTTGATAACCAACTTTTTATGGCCGCAATTGAAAGAAGTTGATCTTGACAACATCTGGTCCCAACAAGACGGCGACACGTGCCACACAGCACGTGCAACAAGGAAGGAATTGCGACATTACAGCAAATTTTTTTAACTCGGCTCGCAAAACTWAAAAGTGTCAAAAGTCAAGAAGGAASTGTTGAGTTGTTTCCACCTCATCTTCTTTCATACAACTTCTGCAGATGACGTCTGGTAAGATTCCCTGCCTTACTGCGTGGATGTCAATAGAACAATGACCCATAAAAAGCCTCGCAACTATTSAGATGCTAGCCTTGCTGAGGGCAAAGAGATTACTAGTTCTTTTGAAAACGACCTTTTGCCAGTTTTGCGACAGCGCATGTACCAATGGTCTTCCAGCGATGGGCAAGCTCYCGCGAAGCCCAGCTATCTAATAGTAGAACACAAGAGAATACAGGAGCAGGATTCTAGGGTGATTTTCCTTAGTAGCCGCTCTGCTATCTGAGTGGACGGTCACATTTCTGAAGAAGGCTGCACTCTGAGGCAGAGAAGGAGCCGTCAGAGTTCGGTTGCGTGMTCCAAATGATCCTGTATGAAGCCAAAGTGAGTGAGGACTTTCCAAGTGTTCAGACATGTGTTCTTTCTGAAGCTGATAACAACTTCCGAGATAAACCTGCTAACGTAGGGTTGCACCACTGGTGTTACTTATTAYTATGAACATTTGGGTTTGTTCGATTGGCTACTATCCAGCGATTGACAAATCGAGTACTGCTAATAACAATATAAGTATGAATGTCCAGTCAGAATGTGCTCTTGCTAACGCAATCAGGCGGATTTCGGAGAATCAGTATACAGAGTTCTATGCTAAACTTCCATAGGAGGCGATGTGCACTCATTGCAGCCGTTAAGATTTGGGTTCACTAGCGGAACGTAGGCGTCCTACTGTTTCGAGAATACCAATGAATTTTAGTTCACTTTTGTATTTATTTTATTTTTGGCAAAGTGCTACAAAAGCAAAWTTATTTTTCACTATAAACTGTAATACGCTCAGAGCTAACTATGTAGGCGTGCATTGTTCGTAGGTGTTGGCTACAATTTAATAGCTCGTAAGCTCCGGCAAACTCGTATTTGCTCAGAATCCCTAAAAGAGCAGGGCGTAATATCATATGCCTGTGTTTATGGTATACTCACTTTAGTTAAAATAAATAGATAAATGGCACTACAGTTAGATGAAACACACTTCACGGCATTGTCGAAATTGTCTTTTCACCGAAGACTGTTGCTCTGACAACAACAACAGACACACACACACACAGACATATTTGAATGTCTACATATGTATGTACAAATGTACATAAATCTATTTATGTGTCTAAATTTTAGTGGCTTACACACTCGAGATGTCTTCAAGTAATTGTTGAAATTTAAAGCCAAACACTTCGGAGCTGAAGCACGAGATTTAAGTAATGTTTGTGGTTTAACGGAAATATGTGTGCGTATGTGTGTGCGTCTGTGGATAAACAATGGATGGACAAGCGGCTGTGGCCACTGAGGGTGAAATGCTTGCGTGTGTCAGTGTATAAGGCTCTCAGTTCAGATTTATGGAAGTAAGTGGTTCTCAGCTATTTTCTACAACCACAAACAGCCGATTCGCACGAAATAGACAGCTATTGTGTGGGCCCAGACAATATTTGCTGCTGACAGCAGTCCGAATGTCTGCAAAATGAGCAGCTTATTCAATTAAAGCGATACAAAGTGCCGCAATTGAGCCGAGTTACGCTTCATTTAAGCTAAATGCCATTGAAATTATCGCTCATTACACGGATTACCGTTAATTTTAAATTTAAATACTTTACAGTTTCATTGCCCACATATGTACGTGTGTGTGTGTGTGTGTGGCTGTGTTTGTATGTGAGTCAGTCTTTTTCCTTTGTTGCAATTTCTTTCTTTCGCTTTGTGTTGGGCACTAAAACCCTAATTGCTTTTCTTTCGCATCGTAGCTGTAAAATGAGGCGCTTAAAAGCGAAATGTGACATTGAAATGCGAAATCGGTGACTAAAGCGCGTGGCGCTCGAACAAATGCAAATTAGTATTTTTTAATTAATTACCTTCCAGCGCGCTGAATACGATCGAAGTTATGCTTGCGAGATTTACAAAGTGTCCATTTAAATGCTTACTAATGTTCCGCGGGTAGCTATTGTTAGTGTATCTTCTGCTCTTTGTGTCTTTGTAAGCAAACCCGTTTTATGGCTTTGCGGTTAATTGTTTGATGTTTTCGTTTTTGTTTATTTTTATTGATTCTGGTGTCTGTGTTCGATGGCTGTTTGAGTGACTTTTGTTATGAAATATGCACCGATTCATTTCGCTTTCTTACATAATGAGCCAATCGTAGATGCCTCAATTTCTATCGAATCGGCGTATTTACCAAAGTTGGTGCAATCTTTAGTGATTTACAGGGTTATATCTGCTTGTGACTTACAAAAAAAAAAAAAAAAAAAAAAAATATTTTCATATATACATATCGTCAATAATATTTGATATTGAATTTGATCTGGAAAATATTCTCTGAGATATGACGGTATTTGTAAGAAGGTAGTGCAATTGGCTCCAAAATTTAAACGCGTTTTTCTCGAAACGCTGTTTTCAGGATTGGTGAGCAGACATCAAAAAGACAAAGTAACATTGAAGAAATGAATACTTCTCATACCTGTATCGACAAGAAAGAAAATAAAACCGAAAATCTTTTTTAAAATAATCAAAATCCAATATTGGTATGTGCAAGTCACCTTCCACCTTTCCATAAAATGCTTTCCTTTTGACCTTTTTTATTTCGGAACTGTTGGAGCGAGTTCGACCTTGTACAATAACCAGTCGTTAGTTTTCCTACTATTTCGGGTCTTGTTGAGGAGCCGTCCACAAGAAGCTTTGATTTCGGAGAGTTCCAATGTTCACCAGAAACGTTTCTCTCTGCCGCTTGSTGATTTAATTAGACAGAAGCTCTCTAGGGAAGCCGTGTCAGAAGAGGGCAGGGATTTCTCTTTCTGTTATTGTTCTCGTTTATTTATGAACGAGATGCCCAATACAGCCCGTTGTTATCACCAAAGTATGAGCTGTCTCGGTCAAGTTCATTTTTCTATCTTTCCAAATTGTTTAATATATTTTGATATTATCGTCTAAACAGTCGTTTTAGGAATTCCACTGAGTTGATTGTATGCAGTGCTAAAATGGTTTGCATGAAAATCACCGAACTACTAGGAGAATTCCAAAGTAAATCGGACTTTTTGAATCCAGCGCCTTCTAGCGCTCGACTGGTGCGTTAGAGGTAGCCATCTTATCGATTGTCCAGTGAGAATTTCATGACATTTCATTGATTGGAAGTGAAGTTATTGCGTTTTAAGTGTCAGTATGTTTATGTTACCGGTGCAAAAATGAGCTCCGAACAAAAAACCAACATAAAATTGTGTTTTAAAATTGGTGAAACCTTTACCAAAACGTTTCAGTTGATGTAACAAGTTTATGGCGATTATTGTCTATTCCGTAGCTGAGTGCACAGGTAGTTTCAGCTTCTTCAAAGTGATCGTGAAGACATAAATGACGTTCAACATGTGGACCAATCAAATTCCTTGATCACCGAAAATTCTATCGAAGCTGTGCGTGATTTCATCAAAAAATCAAAATCATCATTGAAATGAAATTGAGCATCTCCAAAACATCGATTTGTCGCATTTTGACCAAAGATGTGTACAAAAATTGCTCAGAATCCAACATTCGAAGGACGCGTGTGTCCGATTATTTGACCAAAAATTACATTTAAACCACTAACCACTTCCAGTATTCATGGCACCGTGCGACTTCCTTTTCGGTAAAATGCATTTGCCCATGAAAGGAAAGCGTATGCAGACATAGAGGCCATTCAAAAGGCTTGCCATACCGACCAACGAGCTAAAACACTCGTTCGACATGCTTTTCGACTGTGCAAAAAGCTGTATTGAAGCAGAAGGAGATTATTTTGAATGAAATAAATTGATTTTGCCAAAAAAACCATTTGCATACTTTGGAGAGCTTATGAAGCTTTGTAGTTACGAATGACGCAGAGCTCTCTCTACTCCAAGAGCCAAAACAAAACAGGCACTCTTCAAATTCAGATACGACTAAACATAAATGCAGAAACCCGCGGTTTTGTGCGATATTAAGGAAGGTAACTAATTTGCACTTGACTTGGGAAAGAGTAATGTGATAATTGAAAAGCTTGTAACACTCCCCCTTTTCAAGCGAAAATATTTATCATAAAAATCATTCACATGCGACTGACATTTTGCAGTATTTATCATTAATTATAATACCGTCAATATCAATTTCAGCTCAACAACTCAACTTACAACTGCGCTGCTGGTTGCCAAATTGCCAAATCAATTGCGAAGAGTTTCAGGCTCTTTTAAATTGGGTTTGCAATGTTTACAATGTTTGGTGTGTAATTTTTGCGCACCTTTTGTCTTTCATTTGGCTTGGCATTGATTTTGCTTAAACCACGTTTATCGGGTTTTTATTGAACCTTTTCAAATTAAAGCAATTTCGCTGCATTTCATCTATAAAACACGCGCGCCAATATCGCAAGCCATAAACACGTTTTAGCTCTCATTAACGTCAGACCGGAGTCCAACTCGGTCAAGATTATCCATCAATATTGCGAACGAAAGATGTACGGATTTCTCGTAAGTGTTCAAGTGTCAAAGTTAAGTGACACGGGTAGTTTGATTTGCGAAAACTTTTACAAAATATTCGAAGTTCGAAAGTGAGGTTAAAAGTGGAAGTGTGAAAAGCATAAGGTGTCAAAAAGGTTGCTGAAAACTTCGTAGAACGGAAAGGTTTAAGTGGTGGCTAAGCAAGGCAACATTTATCTTGTAGAGTATTAAACATAGATAGGTAAAGGATTATGGAATTTAATTTTGTAAAAAAAAGTCCGATTGCAAATCGCGAATAAAGTTTAACACAATTGTGGTTATCCCGAGTTCAAATCATTTACAAATTTTTCATCAAAAGAGAATGAGCTGAGAGAATAGTGAATGCGATGAGAGCGATTGATTCATCTCCGCTGATCCCAAAGAACTGATATAAATTCTAAAATTAGACTTAGGCAGTCGGAACTTTATGTGGAAAGCAGCTCGAAAATAGTATTGAATCTATTCCATATTTTAGCAGCGAAGAGCAAAATATAATAAATTTTAATAGTGAAAGAATATGGAAAAAGGATTAAGTGATTGACGAAATCATCATTCTTTGGTACAGTTAAATGTTAATTTTGAACATTATGATTTACATAAATCTTGTGATTAATTCCAGCTTTTTTGCCTCGTTGCTGCCGCAGCGGCGGATAATTTGGGATACAATTACCAGCCACTTGGACACGATGCTCCGATTGGAGGAGTCCTTCTCGGCAATGCTATCACAAACGGAGCAAACAGCTACTCCGGTGGAGTTGCCACTACAACTGACAGTGGATTTGGCGGACTCGCTGGCACTAATGATGCCGGAAACTTCGCTCACAGCGGTAGTGGAATAGGATTAGGTCCACAATCTGGACACATCGAATACAACAAGGAGTTCTACACTTACGCTGCGCCCGAGCTCGAGTTCGAGGATAATATTGGCGCTGAACAATTCGGCGGATCGCTAAAGAAGCAATTGCGTGTGGTCTTCATTAAGGCGCCAGAAAATCAAGGTCTTAGCAATGCCGTACTGCAGTTGGCTCAACAGGCTGCCGAGCAGCGCACTGCTATTTATGTGCTTAGCAAGCAACCCGATGTCTCTGAATTGGCCAACAAGTTGCAGGCGCTGAAGGGTAGCAGCACGAATGCACCAGAAGTGCATTTCGTTAAGTATCGCACGCCCGAAGATGCGGCGCATGCACAGCACGCCATTCAATCGCAATACGAGTCCCTGGGCGGTCAATCGCAACACTCAAATGAAGGTGTGGCACCAGTTTTGGACTTCGCTTCGCCTGCGGCAGTGCCGTTAGCGCAGAGTCAAGGCGGTGCTGAAGCTGCCGTTGGCTATCTGCCACCGAATTAGAGTTTTGATGTAATATAATTAAATTAAAKTAGAAAAATTTCATTGCATTGGAACTTGTTGTTCTAGCTTTTATATCATACTTCATATTTTGAGAATTTACGGCACATCCTAGTTAACTAATATTAAATAAATTTGGTATTTTATTAAAATTATTCAAACCCTTAATTTCGAAAGGTAGGCATCAATCTTTGCTAATAGAATTCATAAGAGAGAAGAAGTGCTTATTTCGAAACTCGTAAATTTCTGTACAAAAAATATGGAAGCCAGTTGTTTTCACTAGACAACTTGCATTACAACTTTTTATTACTTCGAGGGCTAATGATACCAACAAAGGATACCAGTAATTTTTTAAGACAATATTGATTTTTATCTATATTCCGAACGATTCTAAGCCGCAATTGAAGAGCAAGCAAATGGTAAAGTTGTCTCCAGAATGGCCAATTTGTTAAACAAGTTGTTCATCTTGGCTGTTAGAGACGTTGTCAGTTGTTATCTGGTGGAGGTCAAATAACAGATGCGAACTGTAAATTAACTCTAGTAGAAAAAAGGTGTAGTACCGAAGCTCAATACTTCAAGTGCTATTTTATATGTATATTGGTTCGAATTCTTGCTCGACAAAAATATGAAAGAGAAAATAATTTTACCAAACCAGAAACTGACAACTCAACTTGATTATTAATATTACTACTAATATTGAATATTGATATTTTCTCAAAGCGGAAAAGTAGAGTGTCCGAAGTGCCGCAAGGATTAAGTGGAACAATTACCAGTAAGCTTCAGAGGTCGAAACATAAATTAGGTCATTTTCATTTTCAAAGTGGCTCCCTAATTAAATTCACCCTAAAAGCTTGTTTAGTGTGCTCACAAAATCACTTAATCAGTCAGAAGGCACTTCTCCCAACAACTAGCTATCAACCGGAAAGCAGCACGGTTGCCCCCTTAATTTGTTCCATTCATTACATCATTAATGCCTTGTGATAAACGAATGAAGGCACAAGCCGAAGCAACAGTAAGCAGTCATCAACACTTTTGCTGTCGTTTAAACCACGCGAACACTCCGCTGCGTGCCCCCCTTCGCGGCGTTTCGGTTGCGGCTCCGGCTCCGGCTTGGCGTATCAGAACCGCTCACTTGTATTAATTGAATGAGAATACATTTTAATCCAATAAATACTTGACAGTGCGCCGCGTCCTCAGTGCTTATTGGTTACGCAGCGGCATAAATATGTACGGACACTCGTATATCCTTTCGGGGGAAGCGCAGCGAGCAACATCTCGAACATATTAAGGCAATTGTATGTTAGTGCAATGCGAGTACATCAAGCACCAAAGCAAAGCGAACGGGGAATATAGAGTAAAATGGAGCTATATTTCTCAGCAGTATACTTATCTCGGTGCTGGCGACTCAATGGGTCATGAACACAAATGACAGCGATTATATTTATAAGCGTGCCAATAAATGTGTCCAAGGAATGGGTGTATGCTATATTTCAAACTATATGGTTTATTTATAAGTATTTATGGGACAGTGTAGGGAAGGAAGTGTGATGAACCAGTGAATTGGTGACAAAAAATATTTTCTTCTCCAAAATAAATTATAACGGATTTTTTAATAAGAGCACCACATAAGTTCCATTAAGTAAAACAAAAACACTTTGGGATGTCAATGAAATTATTTCTTCTTTTAAAAGCACATTCGATGCCATTATGTATGGTACTCGATTTCTTTTGCATACACCATTACGGGCACGCTTGCAGAGGTTCAGATGTTGAACTCAATTTTCGACGGATTTCAATCATAAATCGACCGATACTGCTGCAATTTCACATTCGATATTCGTACAAAGTGCATCAATCGTCGCTGGCTTGTTGGCGTAGTCCATAGACTTGACGTAGCGCCACATAGACAATGATGCCGTCGGTCCATGAACCGCTTCAAAATGTAATTTTTTCGAGATGCAATGGTTACTCATGGAGTACGTGTGAATTGCTGTTAGACATACTACGATTCTGGTRRTTAAGCGGCTTCAGTTTTTGAGTTCATTTGATCTTGGAAGGATATAGGCCAAATTCGCCACGATGACGTCACAATGATGGCCAACGCTTGAGAACGACATGTGAGAGACTGATTTTTACGGGAGGTTCTTTGTCTCAGAATAGCATACGATCGTATTTGTGGTATTTACAGTAACTTAAAATATTCATTTCCGCCCAAAAATTGAACTAAATCGCGATGTTCGTACCATAATTTTACTTTCGATGCGGCTTAACTCAGCAGCAGTGCCTCGACGGATTTAATTCAATTTTTGGCGATGAAGTGTTTAACGATGTAATGTGATTAAGTCGAGGGCGTAGATTTCTTTAAGACTAATTTCGTGAAAGTCGTCAATGCAGAGTAGTGAATTATAAGTGGTTCACAATAATTTGCTGGCAAGTTTTCTTTTMAGGAATCAGGAAACGTCAGAAAACATCCCGGAAGTTATTTATAGTAATGCTGTCGAGTTGGCAGACCTTGGTCGGATAAMATTTTTTGTCACTTCTGGTTATGTAGACACTACTCCCGTGATGTCAACTCTTCTTTATCACTTGATTATGAACAAAAATTTAACAACTGGTTGTCTTCAAAATTAAATGTGAATTCAATTCAGGTCTTAAACTAGACAAATTCTTTGGTGGCATGCGCATCATTGATATTGTCATACTAAACATATACGAAATAACCCACTGTGGCCGCGTTGACCGCAAAGCTGTAAAATAGTTTGATATGAGTTCTACGCTCMCACGCGTCAACTTAATGCCAATTCAAGGTAGCGAAATAAAAGGCCGCTTAGACCGACAGCATCGAGTATTAATATCAAAGGGAAAGCGGAAATTAAATCTAGAACGATAACGGTTTTATGCGTTCACACTCTTTCACCCGCCAGCTTTGTGGTGCTAAGGCGGAGGAAATATTGTTTACTGGTGCTTGTGTGGGCGATTATAGCTGTATTTGTACTTTGTTGATTGTCRCTTCCACGTAATTGCACGTGACGCGCGTAGAAAGCAGTATGGTGTCGAGGCTAATCAAATATCATGTCATTATCATTCGAAGAAAATCACAGAAATTAAGGTTGCCAATTTTAGCCGCGGGTAATGAGATTTTGGTTCGTATGTATGTGTTGATATACTTGTATGTGTATGTTTAATGACTTTGGTTCGTATGTATGTGTTGATATACTCGTATGTGTATGTTTAATGACTTTTGCCTGCGGTCATATGATCCGTTCGAGTAGGTGTGCACCATTATTTTTGGTTGAGGCCGTTGTCAAGGTTGAATGTATAATTTCAGAATAATAYTTTCTTAGAAAAAATTAGAAAATTTAGAATAACGCAGCTAAATTGCTAATAGAGATTTAATACTTATTATTTACATATTGAAACTAGCCTTTGAGGGTTGATATTTTTTCTTTAAACGGCGCACTGTCAAGTATTTATTTTCAAAATTATACAAGTCGGAAAAAATGGCAAAAGAAAAAGCTATATTTATTTTGGAATAAATTAATTTAAACAATAACATAGAAAGTTCGAAGAAGTTCTTAAAAAAATAAAGATATATTTAAAAATAAAGGTAAAGTAAGTTTACATGAAAAACCAAAACCGAACAGAAATGAAAAATGGTTGCGGTACACGGTTTATGTAAGATTAAGTATAAGCAAGCAGTAATCACATAGCAGCCAGCAACGCGTACAACAAAAGAAATAAGCCAATTACGTGTAGAAAGCAAATATAAATTATAGTTTATTTGCATATAAACATACAAAATTGAAAGTTGGTATAAGTATTTTCGTTGTGCTGCTGAAATTTCCGTAAACTCCGGCGCAACTTTAGCGCAAAGTCGACATTAACACCACGTGTTACTCCTTGGCGTATAAGTAATATTCTGCAGTGTATTCATAGAACCGTTCTTACTCAGGCCTTTCCGTGTAATGCCATATAAAATTCCAAATTTTTATACTCTCGCAACAAAGTTGCTAAGGAGAGTATTATAGTTTTGTTCACATAACGGTTGTTTGTAAGTCCTAAAACTAAAAGAGTCAGATATAGGGTTATATATACCAAAGTGATCAGGGTGAC